AAAAAAAAAAAAAAAAGATGAGGTCTTGCTCTTGCTCAGACTGGTCTAACACCTTGAGCTCGGAATCCCTCGCCTCCGCCTCCCAGAGTGCTAAGATTATAGGTATGAGCCACTGTGCCTGGCCTGAAAGGATAAATTAATTAGTAAAACTTGTTGCACCAATTAATGAATTATGTAAATATTGAGCACTCATTATTGAGCACTAGCAACATAAACAGGAGAAAGTCCCCTCCCTATTGGGACTGACATCAGTGTGGGAAAGAAAGGGGAGAAATAAGATGAATGTGGATAGACGGATGGACGGATGTCTGAATGAATGAGTGGAGGAACAGAGAGATGGATGGATGAATGACTGACTCGGTAGGTAAATGCATGAACGAGTAATAGATGAATGAATGGATGAATAAAGGAATGAATAGATAGGTAATTGGTTTGGGGTCTCAGCTCTCCTGAGAGTTAGGCGGGTCAGCGGTCTCATCAGGTCTCCATCCTCCCAATGCACTGGCAAAGGTCTTCGCGTCCGCCGACGTCGCTACTCACCTGTCAGCCTCCCCTTTAAGACGCACACACCTGGGCGCTCACCTGGGCGCGGGCGCTTCCGCAGGAAGAAGGAAGCGATGCCGCAGTCTCCTCCCGGCACTCCCTCCCCGCCTGCTAAGTCCGCCGGCTGTCACCATGTCTGCCTCGGCCGTCTTCATTCTCGACGTCAAAGGCAAGGTGAGACTGAGCGTGAGGGGTTAGGGGCCCAACAGGTGAGTTAGCGCTTCCGGGAATCCAAAGGTGGCCCCTCCACCCTGGCCAGGGAGGCGCCATAATGGGGCGTGGGAACACCCCCTTCTCCCCCATCCCCGCAATCCTCCCGGGTCCTGAATCTCATCTCGACTCCTTTGTTTATTAGTGGTGTGCCCGGGGCAGGGAGTTCACCTCTCTGAGCCTCAGTTTTCCCTTATGTAAAAATGGGAGTAACAGAGAAATCTCCACTCAAAAGAATTAATACAACTCAATGGGTGTAAACCACTTAGCACAATAGCCCCGCTGCAAACATTAGGCATTCAGTAGTAAATTGAAATTATTTCATTCACCGTAAGTTTCCACAGTATTTTTTTTTTTTTTTTGAGCCAGATTCTCACTATGTCGCCTTCAGTAGAGAACTGTGACTTCCCAGCTCACAGCAACCTCAAATTCTTGGGCTTACCTCAGTCTCCCAAGTAGCTGGGACTATAGGTGCCTGCCGCAACGCCAGGCTATTTTTTGTTGTTATTGTAGTTGTCATTGTTGTTTAGCAGGCATGGGCCGCGTTTGAATCCACCAGCCCCGCTGTTTGTGGCTGGCACCCTAACCACTGAGCTGCAGGCACAACAGCCAGCTTCTACAGTATTAATATCCCGGGAAGGTAACTGGGCCAGGAGACCCTAACTCCTCCCTGGGGCTGCCTTCCTCAAGCCCCCCTCATTTGTCTTGTCATTTAATAGCAATAATAACTGGTGGTGAAAATAATATTACTGCTGATAATAATGGTGAGAGGTAAAATGTTTGAGGACACGCTGTGTGCCCTCCCTGTTCAAACAGTGAACTAAACAAGCTTATGAAATGGGTACTATTTTTGTGTGTGTGTTTTTTTTCTTAGAGACAGAGTCTCTTTGTCGCCTTTGGTAGAGTGCTGTGGTGTCACAGCTTACAGCAATCTCTAGTTCTTGGGCTTTGGGCGATTCTTTTGCCTAAGCCTCCCAAGCAGCTGGGATACAGACGCTCACCACAATGTCTGGCTAATTTTTTGTTGCAGGTTGGCCAGGGCCGGGTTTGAACCTACCACCCTCGGTATATGGAGCCGGCACCCTACTCACTGAGCCACAGGCACCGCCCTAAGTGGGTACTATTGTTACTGACTATAACTGCCTGCCAGCCAGAGATATATGAGCCATAAGAAATTTATGGGTCTGGGTGCAGTGGCATGCCGATAATCCCAGCACTTCGGGAGATGAGTCAGGAGAAGCACTTAAGGCCAGGAGTTTGAGACTACTTGGGGCAATATAGCAAGATCCCATCTAAAAAATGCTTGAAAAAATATATAAAAATTTAGTCAGGCGTGGTGGTGCACACCTGTAGTCCCAGCTACTCGGGAGGCTGAGGCTTAGGGAACACTTGGGCCCAAAAGTTGGAGGGTCACAGCAATACACTCCAGTCTGAGCAACAGAGCAAGATCCTGACTTAAAAAATATATACATATAGAGGGGCCAGGTCCAGTGACTTACATCTGTAATCCTAGCACTTAAGGAGCCTGAGGCAGGAGGATTGCTGGAGCTCCAAAGTTCCAGACCAACCTGAGCAAAAGCGAGACTCTCTCTACTAAAAAATAGACAAATTGGTTGGGCTTTTGGCAGGTGCCTATATTCCCAGATACTTGGAGGCTGAGGTAGGAGGATCCTTTGGACCCAGGAGTTTGAGATTGCTGTGAGGTAGGCTGATGCCACAGCATCTCAAGCCTGGGCAATAGACCAAGCAAGACTTGTCTCAATAAAAATTACCTATATATATGTACATATTTCTTTTTCTTTCTTTTTTTTTTTGGGTGACAGAGTCTCACTTTATCACCCTTGGTAAAGAGCTGTGGCATCACACAGCTCCCAGCAACCTCCAACTCCTAGGCTTAGGAGATTCTCTTGCCTCAGCCTCCCAAGTAGGTGGGACTTCAGGTGCCCACCACATGCCCAGCTATTTTTTGTTTTGCAGTTTGGCCAAGGCTGGGCTTGAACCCACCACCCTCAGTATTTGGGGCCAGCACCCTACCCACTGAGCCAGAGGCGCTGCCCTTCTTTTTCTTTTTTTTTAATTATCCCAACTACAGGCCAAGCATGATCGCTTACGCCTATAATCCTAGCACTCTGGGAGGCCAAGGTGGGTGGATTGTTTGAGTCATGAGTTGATTCAGCCTGAGCAAGAGTGAGACCCTGTCTCTACTAAAA